CCGAAAATTGACTAATCATTATGCAAATTAGGTAATTAGTATCCACGGATTATTACCAAAAACTAATCAAAACCTAGCATTAGTTCAGAGCATCTATGTACCAAGTTTCATCAAAATCCAATGAGTGGTTGTTTAGATATCAGTGGAACAGTCATGGAACCACTAAAAAATAGCTAATTATCATGCAAATTAGGTAATTAATATGCACGGATTTTTACCAAAAATTAATCAAATCTGCGCATATGTTCAGAGCATCTATGTACCAAGTTTCATCAAAATCCAATGAGTGGTTCTTTAGATATCAGTGGAACAGTCATAGAACAGCTAAAAATTAGCTAATTATCATGCAAATTAGGTAATTAACGAGCATGGATTTTTACCAAAACCTAATCAAATCTGCGCATTGGCCCAGAGCATCTATGCACCAAGTTTCATCAAAAACCGATGTATGGTTCTTGAGATAGCAGTGGAACAGTCGGACACACATACACACACACACACATACACACATACACACATACACACATACACACACACATACAGACACACTAACTGCAAAGACTCCCATTTTGTGCTTCGCACATGGGAGTCAACAAATAATTTCAATCAAGATAATAATAACATGGTATTTTTTTGAAAAAATTATTACAACAAAGTAGATGTATGGTATTCACATTTTGTGAATGATGAATAAAGGGCATGGTAAAATATACACTCACCTTTTACCAGTATGTATTCTTATAGAATCATCTCTACAAGCTATTGCAAATTTCATAGTATATGGATGCCAAGCAAACGACCGCACAGGGGAATTATACCAATCTCTTGTTGATGAGAATACATTTACCATCTCTTCACTTGACATCTAGAAAACATGTGCCAAGAAACATGTTCAGTTCTTCTATCACAGTATCAACATATAAGTTTGTAATTTTGTGGTAAAACAAAATGTGCACCTGTAAATTAATAATTATTAATAACATACCAAATCATCTTACGGTACATGTAGACATCTCCAAGAAACTGAATCTGACAAGTTTGACTTTGAATTTCAAGTCATGCACCTGTAACCCAATGTACATGATCATTTGAAAAACAGTTGCCGACACATTTAATTATCAGTATTCAGCAAATTTGAGGACTAAAATGGCTGTCCTGATGCACATATTTTAAAAATAGCATAGATGCTACATTTATTACAAGTACACATTTTACTTGATATGTTAAACGCTTCAAACAAAATTACAAATTTAGATTGTATACTCGAGTTGACCTACCACAGAGTCCTTTGACCCGATAGCTTTATAATGCCATTAACCAATCAGAATATTGCATGGTACAAACAACAGTATCTTCAGACACTATTGGAATTTTGATGATTGCATTCCGAACAATTTTCTTATTATCAATGTTGTTTTATGACCTGTTGGCATTGAATTTGCAGTATGATGTTTTAAAGAGGCAATTATCACTTTTCTAATGGTAAAATCAAAGAAGTTTAGAAAGACCTCTCATGTGCTGAGAGTATTGGAAACACATTAAAAATAATACGAAATTACTTGTACTCGAGATATTGAAAACTGAAAATCAATTATGCAAATCAGAAAATTAATATGAACAGATTTGAGTGTAAAACTAATGAGGTCTGTTCAAAGTAACAGACCATCTATGTACCAAGTTTTATTGAAATGTGATTAGAACCAAGAAATTATGCTAATTAGGAATTAATATGAACAGATTTAAATCCCAAACTATACAGGTTTGTACATTGTCCGAGAGCATTTTTATACTAAGTTTCATTGAAATGGAATAATTAATACTTTAGATATCAGTGTGATAGCTTAGAATTGATTAATTATGCAAATTAGGTAATTAATATGTACAGATTTTAACCCACAATTAATCAATGTCTATTGTCCTATTATAGCATCTATGTACAAAGTTTCATTGAAATGTGATGATTAGTACTTGAGATATCAGTGTGAAAGTTGGAATTATGCAAATTAGGTAATTAATATGCACATTGATTTACCTGAAACTAACCAGGTCTCTGCATAGTCCTTGGGTATCTATGTACCAAGTTTTATTGAAATATAATACTTACATGTACTACTTGCAATATCAAAAGCTGAAAATTAATTAATTATGCAAATTAAATAATTAATATGTACTGATATTACCCTAAAAACTATCAAGTCTGTGCAGTGTCCTATGATATCTATGTATGAAATTTCATTGAAATCTGATGATTAGTACTTGAGGTATCAGTGGAGAAAACGAAAATTGACTAATTATTATGCAAATTAGGTAATTAATATGCACGGATTTTTACCAAAAACTAATCAAAATCTCCGAATAAGTTCAGAGCATCTATGTACCAAGTTTCATCAAAATCCAATGAGTGGTTGTTTAGATATTAGTGGAACAGTCATGGAAGAGCTAAAAATTAGCTAATTATCATGCAAATTATATAATTAATATGCATGAATTTTTACCAAAAACTAATCAAATCTGCGCATAAGTTCAGAGCATCTATGTACCAAGTTTCATCAAAATCCAATGTGTGTGGGAACTGTTTTTGTTTATTTTTCCTGTTGGGCAGACAGCATCACTCTGTATGTTTATACTTACTTTATACTCTAATTATGTTTGATCTTAATTATTGCAATCCTATTAATTGATATAATTAATCCCTGACACCTGGCCAGCACAATGTATTGTTTTGGCAGCACTTTTCATGTGTGCTATATATTGCGTGACCATTTCCAGAATAAATCAGAGTTCTTTCAACCATCAATCGAACGTCTCTATGTCTTTCACCTACCACAATGTGTGGTTTTTTAGATACTGTAAAGGGGGTAATTATTCACTGGGTTTTAATTTAGCTTATTTCGCTTACTAGAAAAATGCGCTAAATTAAAACACAGTGAATATGTACAATTTAGCATAGTACACATTATCTAAATGACGAAACCGTGAATTTAAAACCCACTGAATATGCCCGACATGGTAAATCAGTGAAATTTAAACCCAGTGAAAATTAGTCATTTTACAGTATCAGTGTAACAGTCATGGAACATCCAAAAATTATCATGCAAATTAGGTAATTAATATGCATGGATTTAAACTAAAACCTAATCAAATCTGCGCATTGGCCCAGAGCATCTATGCACCAAGTTTCATCAAAAACAGATGTATGGTTCTTGAGATAGCACGCACACACGCGTGTACGCGCACACGCACACATGCACACACACACACACATACTTGTATTGCTATATGTTCCGAGGACTTCATTGGATTAACTTTTAATATAGTTGAATTAACTTTTAATATAGTTGTGATATGAACTCGATTAATACCCGTTCCTATATAGGGTTGCGTTTTAATTGGAGTTTAATTAAACTCAATTACAATGCAATACAATGGAGAATTGCATTTTAACTAAGTTTAATTAAACAAGAGTTGAATATCCCGTGACTGAATATAGAAATGTTT